CGCCATAAATTATTCACCCGACTTTTTGGTAATTTTATTAGTAATTCCAGATGATACATCACAAATTGCTTCCGCTGCCATCCCCGACATTTTCTGAGAGAACATGCGTATGTTATTCTCAAGGATCCCCTGCCAAGGGATAAGATTTGTGGCGGGTCTCAACCCCAGGACAGCTCCCACACCCCAACTCCACCCTCAACCTCGTTTATCAAAACTTCGTGTGTATTTTTCACAACATCATCGCGCAGCGCAATTGCCAAGTGGTTACGTACCAAGATAATGAATATTCCAATTGTTCTCAAAATCTTCGTAATAAAAAATTAATTTTCCTTCGCAATGTGAAATAACATTTCAACGGTCAATTTTCTTTCGAAATCAGAATATTATGAAAAGAAAGAATAGCTTCCAGCAAAATTGGAATATCGATTAATTCGGCAGGTCATTGTCCCTCCGGATAAAAAACTGATGATCGTTATAGATTCTTTAGCTCTCGTCACTCTAAATAATTTATTTTATCCGGATAAAACCGTTGCTTTTACCGCACATTAACCAGGGAGTAATCTTAAGTGCTGGAGCACGACTACCGGAGAGCCCCAAATGTTCCTGATATGACTAAGTGTCTCTCCTCTTTCATGGCGACATGTTCCCCGGACTGGTACAGACCCTGTTAATGCCCCCAGATGAATCATCCAATCATTTTTCCTTCCACAAAGCAATCGACCTGTCGTAGTCACTTGATAAGTGTCTCTAATGTAATGCTGACCCCATTCGCACCTAATATTCAATTTCTCTAAATTCCAGAGTCGAAGTATCACCTGAATTCTCAATTATCAATATTGAAATTCTGTTTCAATGTTCACTGAATTGAATTACTCATGAAATTTCGAAATGACACATCAATTCTAAATAAATCGCGCACTCAGCAAATTTTCCACATCAGACGAAAAATTATTGCTTACAGAATAAATGCAGATGTAATTATTTTTATTGATTTTTTTCTTTTAGAATCGCACGTGTGGAGTGAGTAATTAATGCTTTGGGGAATCTTCAACGCTCTTTGATGAAATTTGTGTATTTCTCACACGTCAGAACGACTTGTCATTAATCCTGATGAACAATGCCTCAACCTTTAATCCACCTTGCTCTTTTCCATGAATTCACAAGTATCGTGCGAGTGAGCCTCGAATGAGCCAACAATGGATCGTTGAAGTTGATAGCGTGCATCAAGTTGCTGTACCACAATGCCTGCAACTTTATCACAATCACGTGCACCAGCACAAGTGTTGTGAGATGAACTTCAAAGCTTCTCATGATGAAATACGCATCGCCGCTCTTTCAATATTAAGTGGGAAAAAAGGAATCGCCATTCATGCACAGCTAGAGAGTTTCGATAAGCTGGGAAAATTACTCACGGGTAAATGCAGACCAATCACGTCATGGATATTCAGAGTTAGTGGGAATAAACTCGAGACTCGAATCAATTTTTGCAATTGGGGAGAATTCATCTGCAATGGAAATTCTGTATTGATTTTAGTCGCTGTTTATTCTTCATCGGTGATCTCTTGGAAATACAAAGTGCAGAAGAAGGGAAACGTCAAAGGACCTAGGTGGTACAAAGGTAATTTAATGGCGTAACGATCAATCTATTTCACAAAGAACAGAAATTTATTTAGGGACTTATCTCGGAAAATTCAGATGAAACTTTCTACATCAATGGAATTTCGTGAATACATGATTATTAATTATTTTAATATATGATTAATATGTGTATTAATATTATGTAATATTATGTAGGTAAATAATATATACGATTAATATATGATTAGCAAAAAATAAATTGAATAAACAAGTGCGTTAATAATTACTTACATTGGTGGCACATCTCACAATGAGATTTTTAGGATTCGATTTTTGATTTTGTGAGAACTCATTTCTGCGTTATCAGAGGTAAACTTGTGATCGTTGAAGTTTTGGAAAATATTTCCTGCGGGAAAATATTACGTTGTAAGGAAGTGGTTGGATCGTTGAATATTGTACCGGTAACTAAACAAGCGACCTACTTCAAGTTTAGAAAAGCAAGTCTAACTCGAGGAACTCCCCCTGCAATTGCCCACCCCTTGACGATATTCACAGGGGAAACTAAATGAAACTCCAGGTGAATTAAAACTGAAACTTCTGAAGTTTTGGGGATCAGACCCGTTGAATTATTGATAAGTTAGCGCAATCATCATTTTAGTGTCCGTGTAGTTATTAAGAAAATAATGCCGAAGTAGTAAATAATTTCTCATGACACGTCCAGTTCTCGTAATTGGGGTAATTATTAAATAGATCTGTAAATTCAATAAATTCTTTCGATCCTATTTCTGCGTTTTCATTTTCATCGACAAAATTACGATTTTTTCCTCTGAAAATTTCAAAACTTTTCAAGAAAAAATTTGGAATTTTCTAGAAGACTGAAAGTATGTCATAAATCGGAGAAATTCATGGAATTTCTTGGAAATTAATGGAAATTTCTGTAATTCTCTAGAGAATCGAGGATTTTCCGTGAATTTTCTGTTGATCTGCAGATTTTGGGATTTTGTTTAAACAATCACGATTTTTTTAGAATTTCTTTTTCC